GAACCACACACTGTCACTCATTCATAGAACAGTTCACACACGGTGGCAGGGAGAAGGGCTGTACTGTTGTGCAGGCAAGGACAGACCCTAAGATCCAGGGTGGTAACACTAAAACGGGAAATTATCAGAACAGGGGAGCCTTGGGAACATTATTGCAACTTACGACTACACTGACTACTACACTGCACTGATTCTTCTGTTTGTCACTTGTCCAGTCTCCACTTTGTCGGTGTTGTCCGAGGCTCCATTTGCCACAAGGATTCCAGACCTCTGCTGGGAAATTGGGTTAAACCAGTGAGACACTGGACTATCCTTGGGCTAGAGACCATGCTGTGCGGGTAAGCTGCACTGGCAAAGAATGTTTCGAAGAGCGAGGTGAAAAAAAAAACAATGGACAAATGTGGACAGACAGTGAAACCGCAACTGGTTTGTGGTAGCTAGATGCAGCTCGTTCTGTTTCCAGTTGGGCTTGGGCAATTTCATTCCAGCTCAAGCCGCAAGCCGCTTTAAACAGTCTGCTGCAGTCTGCCAGAAGTTCCACTGACTACTGTAGCTGCTAGCTTGAACAACTGAACAACAATTGAACAATGTTGCAGTAATTACTGGTCACCAAGCTTTCCTGTCATTCCTTTCATCACTTGGCCGACCTGACCATGGCACCAAAGAAGAGATCAGCTCCAGATGCCAAGGCCAAGGCTGAAGCTAAAGCTGAGAGAGAGAAGGAAAAGGCAGCGAAGGCTGCAGCGAAGGCGGCAGCCAAGGCTGCAGCCAAGGCTGCAGCCAAAGAGAAAGCCAAGACCAAAGCAGCCAACAAAGCTGCTCCCAGGACCAAGGCAGCTGCAAAGTCCAACGCAAACAAGCCTGTGGCCAAAGCCAAGGCACAGGCCAAGGCTGTGGCTGAGCCAACTCAAAAACGAAAGCGGTACCCTAGCATGAGGATGAGCTCAAAGCATTGCGATTTGAGTAAGAGGCCTCGAATCCAGAAGAAAAACATCTTCACAAAGTTTATTGCGCGCAAGGACCAAGTGCCTGAACCACCTCAGTCTGTGCCCCAGGGACAAGTGCCTGGACCACCTCAGTCTGACTCATTGCCTGAGTCACTGGAGAATGAGATTTTGGAGGAGCTTGACTTTGCTTTGCAAAATGGGTCGCAAGATGCCAAGGAACCAGAACCAAAGACAACCTTGGATGGCATGGTAACCTTGTTG